CCCAGGCCTGGGCGTGTGCCGAGCTCGGTGCGTTCTCTGCGGCCCGGACGGCACGTACCCAGGGCCCGTGCCCACGCAGCGGGGCGCGGGGAGGCCTGCCAGGGCACGAGGCTCCTCCGGCGCGCCCGGGGCCACCGGCACCGCCGCGGCGCAGGGCGCCCAGCCAGGCAGAGCCATCGGGACCAAGGGCACTGGCAGAGCTGGAGGGACCCCCCCAGGGACCCCAAAGGGGATCGGGGAGCGAAGCGGCCCTCTGAGGCAGGTGGAGGTGCTGCCTCTAACCAGCAGGGTCTTTCCAGGCTTTGAAATCGCATTTCCCCGCCCCCAGAGCACCTCCTACACCAAACCCCATGCAGGCAGAGACCCGCTGCGCCCCCCGCACCGAGCCCACGCGCCCCGGCCCAGCTGCACGCGGGGCAGCCACGCTCAGCACCGCCAGCGAGCACCGAGACGGGCTCCTGGTGCCCCCATTTGGACACGATGCCCAGTCCCACAGGGAGCCCTCCAGCCTAGAAACCCTCCCTGGATCCCCCCAGTCCTGCCCTTTCCTGCCTCTCCYGTTACAGACCCAGCTGCGCTCCTCTCTTCTGCTGCAGCATGGGGAAAAGAGAGGTTCTTTCTGCCTTTTTTTTTTTCCTCCTTTTTTTTCCTTTTTGCTTTTTACAAGGACACACGTGATTAAAAGCATGTGGCCAGCTTGCACTCCAGCTCCCCTCCGTGCACATTACATAAGGAGTCTGGTTAGGAGGCCTAATATACCCCAAGAGCGCTGGATCCAGCCCTGGGCACCCTGTTTTGGGGCTACCAYGGGGCAGGGGCAGCGCTGGGAAGCGGAGGGCAGCTCTGGGGCCGGGAGAAGATGCTCTCCCGGCACGGCCAAACCCAGCGCTTGCCCAACACGTCACCTTCTCCCCAGGGACGGCAGAACTGCCCCGCTCCAGTGCAGCCCCACGGCCTCCGCGCATCCCCACCATGCAGCACCCGGCCCCGTTAGTGAGAAGAGACGAGGGAGTTAGTGAAGCCGCAGGGACCCCGCACAGAGCGATGCTCCCGAGCGAGGATGAGGAGGCGTTCGGAGGGGGCAAGGCCGYGCTGCGGAGCGCTCCCGCGCCAGGCGGGAAGGCAGGGGCAGGCAGGGGGGTGCAGAGAAGACAGAAAGTTTCTTACTCATCAATTTTATCGGGAAACCCCCAGCACTGCTGCGGGTTGGTGTCTCCATGGCCTGTGTGGATGAAGCTGTTTTTAAGCGGCTGGCTGATGTCGTGGGCTGAGAGCCCCGCCACCGAGGTCACCGTGTTTCGGGGGAACTGGCCCACTTTTAGTGTCCGCTTATTCTGACCCCGCCACCAGTAATTCTCGGCCCTAAGGAATAAAAAGGACCTGGTTACGGAGGGCGGGAAGGGAGGGCGAAAAGCCCGCGGTGGCGGGGCGGGGGGACGCGCGCCCTGCCCCAGGGACACAGGAGGCGGCACTGTGACTCACCCAAGGGCACCGGGGCCAGGAGGGGAGCCCGGGTGCAGGGATCCCCGGGGCTCTCTGGGGATCCCGAGCGCACCCGGTGCAGGCCCCGGCACCCTGCTCTGCCTCCCTGCGCGCAGCCCCGGGTGCCAGGCGGGCAGCAGCCGGGGATGTGGGCGGTGGGGGACAAAGTTCCCGGCTTGCGCCCGCCAGGCCATTGCCCTTCCTGCCCCCCGCGGCCCTGTGTGGGTCCGAGCCGCTGGGCACCRCTGTGGACCCCAGCGGTCCCCACAGGGCTGCCGTGCGGGGCAGCTGGGGCTGCGGGGTCCCCTACCTCGCACAGAGCCGCCGGCGGGCAGGGACCGCRGGCAGCGCCGAGGCTGCGCACGGTGCCAGCCCGGCGAGGTTGGCACGGCCCGCGGTTTCCTGGAGTCACCTGTGACTCACCCGCGGCCACTAGCTCAGCCCTTTTCCTGTTTACCTTCCCGCTCACAGCCAGCCAGGCGCATTACTCAGCGCTGGGACCCCTCGGCGAGGCGACGGGGGCCGGGGCAGAGCCGCTCTGGGCACCCTCCCTCGCCCGCAGCACCGGGGCTGCCGCCCGGGAGCTGGTTTTCCCTTCCTGGGAGGTCCCCTCCGCTTGCTCCCTGCTCCCGGCTGTGCTCCATCTGTGCCGCAGAGATGCGCCGGCTGAGCCGGCCCCTCCACTTACCAGCCCCATCCATCCAGAGGATTTTGGGGGGATGAGTCCCCCTGGCACAAACCCCCTCACGGCGCCTGGTGCCTCATSCCGGGCCCTGGGGCCGCCTGGCACCGCGGGTGCAGAGCGCCACGAAAGCTCTGCCGGAGGCGGCGCCGGGTCCACAGGGCTTTCAGGTAGGTCCTCCCCAGCGCAGAGCCGGGGGCCCCTTCCCCTGCCCACACACACGTACGCACGCCCAGCGCGGCTCTATCGACACGCAGGGGCTTGAAAGGGGCGGGGGGTGTTTACGGTGCCCCAGGCAGCTTCGCCATCCGGCCCCTCGCAGGAGCCCCCCGCCAGTCTTACCGCCCCCGCCAGCTCCCCGCTGCAGGGAGCTGCCGCTGCTCCGGCGCCTTCCTCCTGGGGAAACTGAGGCACGGGAGGGCGCAAAGGCAGGGATCAGGAGCTGCTCTCCTTCCCGATGTGCCCGGTGTGTCCCCGGAGCTCGGGAGGCACCGCGCGGCGCTCCTGCCCGCTCCCCGCTGCGGTGCCCGCGGCCGCAATCCCAGGAACATCTAGCACCCCGGCTGCGTCCTGACTGCAGGACCCGGCCCCGCGTCCGTCACAACCAGCACCCCGCAGAGGTGCCCGCGCCCCAGCTCTCCCCTGGGACAACGGTCTCGACCCAGCTGCAGGGGACACCAAGCGTCCCCGCTCCCCGGGGAAGCTGGGGCAGGGCGGCTCTGCGGCGCGCCGGCGGGCGGGCTGGCAGACAGCAAGGAGCCGGCGCGCACCCACCCACGGCTCCAGCGCGCCCGGCCCCATGGCAGCCCCCGGCAAACCCGCCTGGCCCTRGTGCCCCACACCAGCCCCCCGCTCCGTTCCCGGTGTCACCTGGCTCCGGCGGCAGCGGCGCGGCGGGCGCGCGAGCGTCGCCCGCGTGTGCGGGCTGCGCAGGGCAGGGGCAGGGCGCCGAGCGCAGCCCGTGATGCAACGGGGACGATGTGTGCGCACTGGTTCAGCCGGCGCCGCGGCCGCCCGCCCTCCGCCTCTGCTTCCCTCCCTCGCCCGCCGCGGCGCTTCCCTTCCCTTCCCCTCCCCTGACGGCGATTACCCTGCCAGACCCTGGGCAAGAGTCATCGGGGGCCCAGGAGAAAGCTGGTCCCTGCAGCCACACAATTCCGGCCTGATTCACCTCCCGGCTCTGACTAAAGGCAGGGATCCTGCCCCAGGGGATGGGGGAGAGGGAAAGGAGGAAGGAAAATGTCTTTTCTTCTCTCTCAGCCCCTGAGACCTGCCGGGGCTACAGGACACCTGGGCACCCGGTCCCTCAAGGCATGGAGGGACTTTGAATCCTGGGGTACCTGGCATCCCCACCACACTGCTCCCCTCTCCATCCCCCAGCGGTGCAATATGGCTAAGGGGACAGGGACCTTCAGGCTGAGGTGACACTCTGGCAGTGGGGATCCACAGCCCAGCCTGGAGCTGAGGGGCTGCAGGACCCTGTGGAGCCGCAGGGCCATGGAGGGTGGGCTCTGCCCTGGGCTGCCCAGCAGGGCTGGAGGAGCCGAGAGCGAACGGAGAGGGACAGGAGCCGGGCGGTCGCGGCATGGGTGTCCCCGGGCGGGTGACGGTGACGTCCCCGCGCTATCAGCAGGGAGCGGCACCGGGTGCGTGGCTGSCCTGGCAGGCGTGTTCCCGGGCAAGGCCGGGGCGAGCCCACGCGCGCACGCCAGCCTGACTCACGGCGGGTGGACGGCAAGGGGAACCCGGGCACCACGGGCAGGGCCATGGCCCCTGCACCGGCCCCGKCCCCCTGCCAGCACCATCCTGGCAGCGCCGCGCCGGGGAACGTGCAAACCTGGCAGGGCACCAGGCAGCTCTGCCGGGCTCTGCCTGTGGGCTGCGTGCCCAGGTGTGCCCGATGAGGGGCAAAACCCCTAACCCAGCCTATGTCTCCACTTCCCACAGCTCTGCCAGTGCCCGTGGCCCCCGACATCCATTTTTGAGATCCCCTGTTCCCATCCCCATGCTGGCTGGCACCAGTTCCTGCTGTGAGGGGCGGATCTGCGCAGGGCAGGGGGGCGGGCAGGGGTCCCCCGCAGACAATACCTGCCCTCGATGACGGTGATGATATCGTTCATCTCGATGCGCAGCTTGTCGGGCTCCTCGAAGTCCTGCAGGGCCCGCATGTCAGTGGGCTGGGCCTGGCAGGGAGAGCAGAGCCGAGATGTGGGACGCTGCCCCCCAGGACCCCTGCTTGGAGACCAAGCCCCAGCCCTGAGACCAAGGGCATGTGGGGCACAGGAGCCCTAGCAAGGGGTTGGAGAGTCACCACCCCAGCTCGTGGCCTGCACCCATGTGTATTGCCTTGCAGCTTGATGTCACCCTTATCTCTGCCCACGCTTGGGCGACACTGGTGGGAGGTGGTCCCTAGTACCTCTCCCTGGGGATGCTCCCCGAATGCCTCCCTGCCCACCTACCTCGACCAGGAAGTCCCGCAGGGCCACGAAGGTGGGCCGGTCCTCGGGCTTGTGCGCCCAGCACTGCAGCATGACATTGTAGACGTCCTGGGGACAGTCCTCGGGCCGCGGCAGCCGCTCCCCCTCCTTGTCTATTTTGTGCAGGATCTGTGGGGCAAGCAGAACCGTCAACTGTGTGCCAAAGAGGGTGGTGATGATGCCAAAGAGCATCCCGAGCCCTTGCTGGGGCCTGCACTGTGGCAGGGCCTGCTGAGGTGGCAGATCCTGGAGGGCTTGGGAGGAGAGGAGCAGCCCAGACCCTGACGTGTCCCYCCACTGCCCTGCCTGCACAAGGCTCAGCGCTGCCGTGTCCATGGGGGTGGGAGCACCCACCACGCTGCCCACCTGGCTGCCRTTGAGGCCGATCCAGGGCTCCTGGCCATAGGTGAACATCTCCCAGAGGGTCACCCCAAACATCCAGGTGTCGCTGGCGTGGGAGAAGGTGCGCGTCTTCAGGCTCTCAGGAGCACACCTGCCCGGGAAGCAGACAGGTAACAAGAGGGGCTGGGAACGGCACCCCCAGCTCTCCCCACAAGGCACTAGGAACTCCGGGATGATGCCCTCAGGGGCCCCTGGCTCAGGCTCACCAGGCAAAGGGCACCTTGCGGTGCTCCTGCATCACATAGTGGTCGTCATTTTTGGGCAGGGCCCGCATGAGGCCGAAGTCCCCGATCTTGACCAGCTCGTTGGAGGCCAGCAGGATGTTGCGGGCAGCCAGGTCACGATGGATGAAGCGTTTGGACTCCAGGTAGGCCATGCCCTTGGCCACCTGGATGGCATACTGGCACAGCGTGGAGATGAGGAAATGGCCCTGGTTCTTTCGCAGACGATCCAGAAGAGAGCCCAGTGGGGCCAGCTCCGTCACCTGGGCCATGTGGAGGAGAAGACAGGTGGGTTAKACCTAGGAGCATCCCAGTTCATACTGTTTTCCAGCCCGCTCAGGCACCTGGCACGGCAATCTCTGGGGAGGGCCCAGGAGGATAYAGAGCCTGTTTGCCCCACGGCTCAGTTTGCCCCACGGCTGGTGATCACTGCACTGGGGGCCAGCAATGATGAGGCAAGAGCCCCAGGGTGCAGCAGGGCAGTCATGGCTCAGGTGTATGTAGGGGTCAAGGTCAGCCCTATTCCCAGGGGTGGGAGCCCAACTACTCTTCTTGCCGGAACCCCAGACTCACCATCTTCATGGGGTGGGAGAGCACCACACCGTAGAGCCGGATGAGGTTCTTGTGATCCAGGGAGTGCATGGCGTTCACCTCRCGGATGAAGTCGTCCAGCACCTCCGGCTGGCTCAGCACATCCGTCTTGAGACATTTCACCGCCACGTTGAGCTAAGGGCCAAGCAGGGCTGAGTCACAACGTGCGGCAGACACATTCCCAGGGGTCTCCCAAACTGCGCTCCTCCACACACCCTCATGTGGAGCACGGGTGGTCCCAGACCCGCCTCCCCCGCCGCAAGCAGCGTCACAGGGCTCTGCCGCAGCCCCTCACCGTCTTGCCGGCTGGCGTGCACCACTCGCCGCGGCGCACGACGCCGAAGGAGCCGTCGCCCAGCTTCTCGAAGAGCGAGAGGTCCCTCTCCCTGATGAGGCAGGTCARGGAGTGCTGGCCGCTGGCTTCCAGCGGCGGCGGCGTCGGGGGCTTGCGGAAGGTGCTCTGGGGCTGGGGCGGCAGCTCCGACTCGGGGCGCTTCCCGCTGAACACCTGGGGGGGGTGGATGCCTGTGAGATGCAGGTGCAGAGGTACCCAGATCCTCCCACCCACAGCGCAGGGATTGGCAGCAGCAGAGYCTGCCTCAGTTTCCCCCCTCTCTAGTAGCAAGAGCCATGCACGCTCCTTTGGGGCCGGGCTACCATGGCATGCAGGCAGGCCACCCATCTGCCTCTGTGGTTCTGCAAGGGAGCAGAACAGCCYGCCCAGGCTGTGGACTCTGAAACCTAGCGACAAAACCTCCCCATCTGCTGCTTGCCCAGGGCTGCTAGCAGGCCTCTCTGCTGCATGGTGAGCTGCAGTGCAGGATGGGCTGGGGGAAACAGCAGCCTTGGGACTGTGCCTCTCATTGCATGTGCTCCCATGGATGGGAGCAGGTCCCTGGGAGCCCAGGGCTACCAAACACTCGTCACCAGACTGTAGCCGTGGGATGGGCACCAAGCTGGGAGAAGCCTCCAGCTTGTGCTGAGCAGGGTGAGAAATCCCCACAGCAGCACGGGCTGTGCAGCACGCTCTGCCATCCCAACACCAGCCCCTTGGCCCTATCACCCACCCTGYCTCACCAGCCCAGAGGGGACGGGGATGGGCTCACTGCCTTCCTGCCCCACCAGCAGCCTCTCAGGGGGCCTGGCAGGACCAGAGCTTGTGCCACAGGGCCACGGAGGCTCTCCCCAGCCCTGGAGCCCACCGCGGGCTGGCGGCTGGGGCGGCYGTGCGGGGGCCAGGCCAGGCATGTGGCTGCGGTGGGAGGTGGCATTTCTCTGCCCTGCACTGGGCTGAGTCGCCTTCTATTAAAAGCCCATCCCGGCCACGGCTCGGCCCGGGTGAGTCACGAAAGGGAGAGGCCAGGCACGAGCGCCCAGCTGGCAGGCGCAGGGTTCTGCGGGGGCAAGGTGGAGATGCCCGGGGCGCGGAGGKGGCAGCATCGCTGCTTTTACGTGGGACAACAAGAGGGAAAAATCGCGAGGCGGGAGGATTCAGTGTCAGAGGTATCTTGGGGTCTTCTGCCCTGAGGTGYCCTGGTCCGGTGCAGGGGACAGGCAGGGTGCTGGCAGTGCCAGTCCCTGGGGACCGAGCCAGCTCGGCCCTGCCGTGTGGCGGCCGGTGGGCAGGACAAGGGAGATGCTGCCCGGAAAGCTGGCTGGGCCGARATGTGGGCTCTGTTGCTAATTAGCTCTGAAATAGTTTCCTGGAAAAGAGGCAGATCATGCAAAGGGAATGAATTTCCTGCGTGCCGGGGCGGCAGCGCTGCCTTGAGCTGGGAAGTTACCCCAGAGCTCACATGGGGCCACCAGGGTCACACAGAAGGAAGGACACATGCTGGGGACTCGTGCCTCTCTCCCTGCCACCTCTCTGGGGACAGGGCTGGCCCTTTGCTCCATGGCACTCGAGGCAGGGGCAGAGCTGGGCACCCACAGAAGACCAAGGGAACCATCAGCAAGAGGAAGACAGGGAGCTAATCACACCCATGTACCCYGTGTTAGGGCTGAGGAGCGGGATCCCAGCTCCCCTCATAGGGCACCAAGCTCCTCCTGCTCCGCAGTCTCCCCATCACCCCTGCCCGGGGTGCCCCTGTCCCAGCCCTACCTTGCTCATCCACGACTTGCGCTTGCACATGGCTTTCCTCCGCTTCACAGCCTCCCACAGCCGCCGCTGGCCTGCCGGGACACCGGGACTCGTCACCCGGCTGGGGTGACCGTGCAGCCGGGCAGGCGCGTGGGGAGAGCTTTGGGGGGGACATACGCACCGGGGCGGCCCATGCCAATCTTCTCCAGGTCCTCATTTTTGACGTACTCGAAGTGGGAGAGGCGGGTGACGTTCAGCTCGTCCCGGATGCGCAGGAAGTACTGCTGCAGCTGCAGCTCGGTGAGCAGCTCCAGCAGCCAGTCCGTGCCCTCCTCCGACTGCATGCTACAGCTCAGCTTCTGCAGGGAGAGCGCCCCGCGTCACCACGTCGCCCCGTCCCCAAGGGCCTGTCCTGTCCCCACGGGCAGAGATGCCCACAGTGCAGAGCCTGTTCCCAGCACCCCGGCGTGCTGGCGTGATGTGGGCTCTTCTCCTCACTGGCAAGACCCCCAGGGAAGAATAAATAGTCCAGCTCTGCCCTGTTGTAYCCATAGCCCCGTTAAAACTGCAGCCCATCCTGCCTGCTCCCATTCCAGGGCAGTAATACCAGGGATGGAGAAGGTGGCACAGCCTCGGGGTATGGGATGGACATAGACGGCGGTCACTGCAGCCTGGACACGTCACCCCAACCAAGAGGCRCTGCCTGCCCAGGCACCAAGCGTGCCCAAGAAGCACCCTGGGCCTGGCACCACATACGTACAAGGGGCACCCCRTATGGGGCAGCCCCGTACGCGGGCCCTGGCATCATGCATGGGCAAGGGGCACCCAACCCGGCACTGCATTCGCCAGGGTTTGGGCACTCTGCCCAGCTGTGCTCACCCCAGGCCGCTCTCTGCCCAGCACCACCCCRTGCCAGACAGGGCCCAGCTTCATCCTTGAGCTCTCCGCACACCCCAGACACGTCCCGTGCCACTCCGCATCCCTGCCCATCTCCCGGTCCTCCTTCTCCCTGTCTCCTCCAGCTGAGATCGCCACCTTCCTGGGAAGGGACAAGGGACACTGCGCTTTGCCTTCCACCTCCAACAGCCGGGGCAGAGACTGAGACCTCGCGGCAGATGGAGCGGGACGCAGCCACCTCCGCGCTCTCCCCCGGGAGCCGACGTGGCCGCGCTCCCCTTGCCGCCCTCGCGGTGCTCACGGGTCCCGGCGGCGATGCCGCCACTTACAGGCTGAAAATACAGAGGGTGCCGCAAGCTGCCGGGGCAGCCGGGGTGAGCGGAGCGGAGCCGCCGGCCCCAGCGCCGGCCGGGGCAGAGGGGTCGGGCGGCACCGGGACCGCGCAGGGCAGGGGGGACAGCGCCGCGGTCCCCATGGGGGCACCGGGCCGGCACTTACCCGGTAGACGCGGAAGCGGGCCAGGAACGGGAAGGAACGGCGCAGCGTCTCAAAGCGGCGCATCCTGCTCAGCCTCCGCCCGGGACCCTGCCCAGGCGCCGCCGGCCCCGGTGTCTCGGGACAGATCCGGGACGCTATCAACGTCCTCCTCCTCCTCGCCCGTGCGCGGCTCCCGGCGCGGGGAGCGCTCAGCGCAGCGCGGGCCCCCGCGGCATCCCCAGGGCCGCGCGGGTGCCGGCGGCCAGGACGCTGCCCGTCACGGTCCCCCTCCTTCCGTCGCGCGGCCGAGCCTCTCCTTCCCGTCCGTCCTGCCGTCCCCTTGCCGCAGGCGGTGCGGCCGGGGCGATCGGCAAGCCCTGCGCGGGGCTCGGTGCCCGTCGCGCGGCCGGGCCGCCGCGCTCGTCGCCGCGCAGCCTTTCTGATCGGTGGCCAAGAGGTCAGCTCTAACCGCGGGCTGCAGAGCCGCCCGCTTCCTGTGGGCCTCCCGCTCGGGAGCCAGGGCCCGGCGGCTCCGGCGCGTTCCCGGCCGGTCCCCTTCCGAGGCGGCTCCCCCCTCGGCACGGCCGGGCCAGCGCGGGGGATCGATGCCCCAGCCGGCCCAGCTGCCAGCGCAGCCCTGCCCAGGAGGGTTTATTTTAGCTGCGCGCTGGCCCGGCGCTCGCACCGCGCTGGGATCCGAGCCCAGGGGGCTGGCCTGGGATCAATGTGCTGCTTTCTCTCTTGTTCGGCGGGATCTCGCTCCGGCAGCTGCACTGCCTGGGAGACTGGGCTCCCGGGGCCCATTTCCATGGAAACTCGCTCTTGGCCTTGGGAAAAGCTGCCGAGCCTCAGTTTACCCTATTAAGCAAGGAGGGCGGCACATCCGGCCCTTGGCTCCCGCGCGGCTTGGCAGGCTCCTAAGCGGAGGTGCGACGGGGCCGGACGCCACGGGGACGGGCACGGCGACAGCGGCAGCATCCGCTCGCGRAGGAGCGGGCGCAGCGGGAGCCGCGGTGCCGCTGCCCCCCGCGCGGCTCAAAGCCCTCGTCTGAGCCGCTGCCAGGGCCCCCGGTGCCCCCCCACAGCTGGGGGGGCGGGAGCCAGGCCCCTCACAGCTGCCGGTGCCGTGGGGCCGGCTCCCCTCGGCGGGGGGCCGGCCGCGGGGCCGGGGCCAAGCGCTGGCTCCCGAACACGGCTCYGTTGTCCGCCCGCGGGCTCCCCCGGGAGAACAGCTGGCCGGACCGGCAGCGCGCGGCGTGAGAGAGGAAGGACCCGCGGCGCCCTCCTGCCGCGGCCGCGGCCCCCCTCCCCACAGCGAGCTCCGTGCCAAGGCCCCGCGGGTGGCGAGGAGCCCGGGGTGGGACACGGCCTGCACCCCACAGCACCCCCTGCTCCTCCCTTGGCCCTGCTCCCTGCTGCATCCTGCTGCCCGCCCTGCCCCGCGCCCTCCCTCCTCTGCACAGGGCACGAGCACCAGGAGGAGCCACCGCTGGGATCCCCGGCCCCAGCACAAGGGCCCCATTGACTGGGGACGCCTGGGCAYGGTGCCCTCGGCACCAACCGCTGCCACGCGCCAGCTCTTCCCCTGCGCGAGCCGGGAGACACCAGGGACGTGGGCGCTTCCCCGCGCAGAGCCAGGGTCCCCCCTCGCCCACAGCGTGGGATCCCTCCTATGGGTCCCAGTGCTGCATCCAGCGGGTGCTCCCCACATACCCCTCGCATCRGGGCACAACCTGCACCTTGGCTCAATGCTGGGCCAGGTCCTGCGCCTGCCCGAGCTCAGCTCAGTGCCTGCACTGTCGGGCACCGGCGCAGCGCCCACAGTGCCTGGTGGGCTATGGGGCATGGGGTCGCACCCCCAGGTACCCCACCTGCAGCGCCGGGCAGGTCCCCATGGCCCTCCCGTGCGCCCCGGGACCACACACACACCGAGCGCTGCAGCCCCCGTGCCCTGCGCGCACCCCGGCACGTGCACAACCGCAGCCAACCCCACCGCCGGCGGCACCCGCCAGCTCCCGCGGCGGCCGTGCGGGCGCGCACGTGCACAGGCACACGGGCCCGGGAACGCGCCCCCGGCCGCGCTGCCCTCGCAAACGCCCCCGAGGCGCCCCCGGCTGCGCACTGCCGCACGTCGCTCCCGCCCCACCGACGCACTGGCACCTGGGCATGCAGCCCCCAGCATCATCCGCCCCAGTCCCACTCAGGGCAGCACCTCAGCACCCCCGTGTGCACCCACAACGCTGGGGCGCCCTCCTGGGTGCTCCCTGTGCAACTGCCATCAGCCTCCCAACGCATCCATCCATCCATCCATGCACTAATCCACCTCCTCTGCCTCCCCTCCTGGGGATCGTGACATGGGGACACAGCCCTCCTCTCCCTGCAGGAGCTGCCCCTGCCAGGGGCCCGTTTGCAAGAGGGGGCAGCCCCATCCACCCCGCACACCCAGAGGGGAGGTTGAGGCACCGAACGTGAGCGCACGTGGGCAGCTGCACCCAGGCACCCGCATCCTCCTCCTCCTCCTCGCTGCAGCTGCGCCCAGCTGCCCCCACTGCCAGGAGATGCAGCACAGGGTGCCCCGGGGGGACGCCGTGGCCCTGCACTCCATCCTTCTTATCCCTTCTGACACCCAGGGCACAGGATCCCATCTGCTCCCCCTTCCCTAGGGCTGCCCCACAGCGGCGCCGTGTCCCTGGGCACAGTGCCAGCCCTGAACACAGGGTCCACATGGCAGCAAGGGGGAGCGAGGGCCGGGCTCCCTGTGCGGATGCCACAGCCAAGGGCAGCCGGCGCAGCGGCTGCTGGACACCACGCTGCAAGCAAGTGGGCACCAGCTCGTGCAAGGGCAAGGGGAGGGCAGGAGCCGYTGGCTGGCACCAGGGCCATCGGGCAGCATCACCCCTCACCCGCCCCGTGCCTCAGTTTCCCCAGCACAACAGAGGTGACAGCAGCAGCAGGGCAGCACCCGGCTCTCCTGGCTCCCAGCCCGGGATGCAGAGCAGCTGCACACACAGAGCCCCAGGCGCCCAGCGCAGGGTCCCCGCGAGCACCGGGGAGGGTGACACCATGCAGGGAGACGCAGCACCGTGACACCCCCTCCCCATCACCAGCCACCCCCCTGGTGCAGGCACCACCGTGCCCTCCCCGGAGGGACAAGCAGAGCCCAGCGGGTCCCCCCCAGTTGCCCCCTGCCCCCAGCACTGACCCGCCGGCGCGGGCCGCCGTGGTGGCGCGGGGACGGCCCGGGGCGCGCGCTGCCCCTGCGCAGCATCCGCTGCCCGTCGCCRTCCGAGAGGCTGTGGGGCAGCGCGGGCCGCGGCTCCTCCTCGTCCTCGGCGCCGCTCAGCCGCTGGTAGTCGCCTCGGTCGCCCATGGCCGCGTGGATGGCGGCGGCGAGCGGGGGCGCGGAGATGCCCGCGGGTGGCGAGGGCTGGAGCCGGGCGCGGGATCACATGGCAGAAAGTTGCTGCAGTTCCGGAAAGCAGCGAGAGGGTGAAGGTGACCGCGACGGTGATGCAGGCGAAGGCGGGGGGATGGATGCCGAGGAGCCGGGCGCCGCAGCGGGGAGGGGGCGGCCGCGGGGGGGCCTGCGCTCGCCCCCCAGCGCCCACCCGGCACGGAGGGGCCACGGCATCCCGGCCTCCTGGCTACCCCGCGGCCGGGATGCGGGGCTGGGAGCCGCGGGGGGGAGCATCGCGCTGCAGCCAGGGGCTCTGCGGCAACGCGGGGCGGGCGGGAGGCAGCAGCCCCCTCCTCCTCCTCTGGGGCAGGGGGCCCGCGCGGAGGGGGCAGGGGGGCTCGGGGGCTGCAGCCCCCATGCACAGGCGGGCTGGAGCATCCCTGCACGGCCGCGCCGGCACAGGGGGATGGGATGCGCCGGGAAGATGGCTGCTCCACAGAGACCCGACTGCAGAGCCAGCGCTGGCGCGGGAGCCGCCGCGCGGRGGGGCTCCCCAGGCACTCGGATGGGCTTGGGGGGTTCTCTGGGGGGATTCACCCTGGTCAATCTGTTCCTTTTACCCCACAGCGAGTGTTTGGGGTCACCCAGACCCCTGCAGGGCACTGCCCTGGGGGCACTGGGTACCCCCCGGCTGAGCTGGACCGGGGACGGCACTGAGAAACCCAAACCTCGGGCAGGAAACCTGTCACTGCCCCCCAGCAGGACTGGGTGGCACTGAGAAGCCATAGCCCTGGACAGGGAACCCATCGCCAGCCCCAGCAAGGATGGGAGGGAAGAGGCTCCCAGGAGGGTGCTGAGCTGCAGGCTGCTCCTCTGCATGGGGTGCCCCCTGTCAAGGACACCCTCAAATGCCAAGGTGCCCTCACCTCTGCCCCACGCATCCCGCAAAACCCCAACGCAACCCGGCCGTGTCCCCCATCCAAGAGGGCCAAACTGGAAGGCGGCTGCATGTGACACCCCGTTGCCCCACGAAGCCCGAGGCCACCCTGCCAGGGCGGCAGCTTCACCCTACGGCCCGGGCCTGCCGCGGGGCCGCCYCGCTCGGCGCCTCCTCCTGCCATTCCACAGGGGTGAGCTCAGGCGCGCGGAGCCGGGATGAGCAGCGGCCGCCCCGCCGGCGTCACCGCGCCGGCACGTCCTGCGCCGCACGCGCTCGGCCACCTTCCTGCCGCCCGGCCRCGCGCCCGCGGGGCACCGCGGACCTGCCGGCAGCACCAGCCTGCGCTGCCCTTCCCCAGCATTGCCAGGCGAAGAGCAATGATGTGGGATGCACGCAGGGGTCTCTGCGGCAGGGAGGGGACAGCGCTGTCCCCACTGCCCCAGCCATGGATACTGTCACCCTCCGTGTACCGGCTCCTCCCCAGGCTCCCGCCAGACGGCGCAAATCCAGGGCAAGCAGCTCCCCCAAACGTTGGATTGGGAAACAAACCCAGGCAAAGCTTCCCGGGATCCACCGCGCCCCGGCGCAGCCAAACACCGACCCGCAGGGTCCCGGTCCCGGTCGGCATGGCGCCCTGCTCCTGCGGGCCTGCCCGCACCCCCTGCCCAGGGATCCCCCCGGACAGGGGGCACTGTCCCCTGCCGCCCCAGGGCGGGCACGGCCATGCTGACCACAACACGTCCCTTCTGCGGAGAGGAGGGACGTCCAGACCTCCCCAGGCAAGACGGCGTCACACTCAGTTCCCGCATCCCTTCCCAA